GTTGCTGCCTGAACTCGAAACCCTAAACCCTAAACCCTAACCCTAAACCCTAAACCCTAAACCCTAAACCCTAAACCCTAAACCCTACACCCTAAACCCTAAACCCCTTCCACCCCCGGAACTTTCTGTGCGCTGGCCAGGAGGGACCACGAAACCACAAGCGTCTGAGCCTCCCTGTCTTGGTAGCCCACCTGTACCCTTTCCCGCTTGCCCTTTACCCTAAACCCTAAAGCTTAAACCCTAAACCCTAAACCCTAAACCCTAAACCCTAAACCCTAAACCCTAAACCCTAAACCCTAAACCCTAAACCCTAAACCCCAAACCCCAAACCCTAAACCCTAAACCCTAAACCCTAGACTCTAAACCCTAAACCCTAAACCCTAAGCCCTAAACCCTAAGCCCTAAACCCTAAACCCTAAACCCCAAAATGGGGTACCCCCCATTACAAGATGGTTGCTGGGCTACGAAGCTGTGCATAGGGTGCTGGTCGTGAGGGTTGGCTGGCATCGTTAAGGGCTAATAGGGGTACCACATTTTGGGGTTTAGGGTTTAGGGTTTAGGGTTTAGGGTGTAGGGTTTAGGGTTTAGGGTTTAGGGTTTAGGGCTTAGGGCTTAGGGTTTAGAGTCTAGGGTTTAGGGTTTAGGCTTTAGGGCCGTAGGCTGCCTCACCTTGACTACTCTTCACCTTAGGCTTTAGGGCCGTAGACTGCCTCACCTTGACTACTCTTCACCCGAAACCCTAAATACCGGGTTTCGGGTTTAGGGTTTACGGTTTAGAGGTACCCTGTAGGGTTGAGGGTCACAAGCGTCTGACCCTAAGAGCTTCTGCGTGGTTCTCAGTAGGTTAGTAGGTACCCTCTACCATCCGTTCAAGGGTTTTGCAGGAGAGAGATTAGGGTTTGGGGCTGAGGTTACCGAGTTCCCGATTACTAAGAACTAGCAAGATATATGATGCCAGCACCTCTTATCTTTGCCAGCTCGCGGGAAGCAGCGATGCAGCTGTTCCTTTTCTGTCAAAACTCCACATCTGCGCATGGGTGGAGGCTTTAATATCGGGGTCGGGATAAATATCAACTGTATTTCCACCCCCCCTCCCCCCCCAAAAAAAATAACCAATCTTCATTCTTAAGGCCCCTATAAGTACTTAAGAGCCATTGTGAGGGACTCTTCTCAATGTAGAAGCCTAAGCTCCAAGAAGTATTCAACATTCCCCTTGGGCATACCCCTTACATTCCTGACATTCTCCATTTCTAGGTTAAGGCGGTATGGGTTTGGGTATGTCGAACCGTAAACCCTCAACCCTCAACCCTCAACCCTCAACCCTCAACCCTCAACCCTCAACCCTCAACCCTCAACCCTCAACCCTCAACCCTCAACCCTCAACCCTAAACCCTAAACCCTAAACCCTAAACCCTAAACCCTCCTTCGACAACCCCCACCCTTCAGGGGTTTTAGGGTTGAGAGGCTGATCAAAGTCGAACATCCCGTGCCTTGCGCCGACCTAAGAACTCCGTCCCCTGAAAGCTGCTCTTGGTAGGGTTTAGGGTTTAGGGTTTAGGGTTTAGGGTTGAGGGTTTAGGGTTTAGGGTTGAGGGTTTAGGGTTTAGGGTTTCGGGCTAGGGGTTTAGGGTTTAGGGTTCTTAAGGGAGGGAGGTTCAAGGGGGGAATGTAACCCAATATTCCCTAATACTCCCCACTACTCCCTAAGGCTCCCTAAGCTTCCCGAAGGTTCCCCTAGAGGTTTTAGGGTTTAGGGTTTAGGGTTTCAAGAGCTCATGGCTCGAAAAGTTCAGGGCTTTCCGGCAAGGGCTCAGTCGGGTTGGAGCATGTCGGGATTGGAGGGTTCAGGGTTTAGGGTTCAAAGGTTTAGGGTTTAGGGTTTAGGGTTTAGGGTTTAGGGTTTAGGGTTTAGGGTCTAGGGTCTAGGGTCTAGGGTCTAGGGTCTAGGGTTTGGGAAGAGCCTCCGCCTGGGCAGCCTTTACATGGTTAAACCATGTCGTGCCCCTGTCAACGTCCTCGCGCCGAGTCCTGGGCTTCTTCCCCTAAAGGAGTATACTTGGGGTTTAGGGTTTAGGGTTTAGGGTTTAGGGCTTAAGGTTCATGAACCCCTAAGTATGGAGAGACCCCCTAGAAGGGGCCCTTAATCTTATTTCCCTAAATAACCCCGGTATGTACCTTATGTAGTCTATTCAGTCTTGAAAGGGCCCCTCTGTTAGGCCCTTGATTCCCTGAAACCCTAGCTGCCCCTCTCTCTCCAAGAGCCCTGCAGGTTTGGAGTTTAGGGTTTAGGGTTTACGGTTTAGGGTTTAGGGTCTAGGGTTTAGGGCCCCAGGGTTTAGGGTTTCGGGTTTAGGGTTTTAGGATTTAGGGGTTAAGGTTAAGGTTTAGGGTTTAGGGTTTATCTCGGGGGTAGTTACATGGGCTCTGAGGCTTCACATATACCCTTTTTTATACCCAATGAAAACCCAGTGGGCCCATTCTTCAGAGCCCTTTGAGGAAAAATTAGGGACCATGTAACTACCCCTCGAGTTTATGGTCTGGGGCTTCTAGGGCTTCTAGGGCTTGTAGGGCTTTTAGGGTTTAGGGTTTAGGGATTAGGGTTTAGGGTTTAGGGTTTCGGGTTTTTTTGTAATATGTCTACGACGGTTCTGAGGGGAGTATCGGTAAGTTCCCTCCTAGGTCCTAGGTTGTGGCTCGGTTAACCTGCACTCCGCGCCCACTGCAAAGCCAAACCCATGATGATAGCCAAATTTCCAATAATTTTGTAGGGTTTAGGGTTTAGGGTTTAGGGTTTATGGTTTAGGGTTTTGGGTTTAGGATGTCCCCTAGCAGCCAAAACGGCCCAAAATCCTCGCTTACGGTACCTCTTCTGCTGGTCCTCTCAAAAGCGAGACCTACTACGCACGGCAGCCTAAGCCGCAAACCCTAAACCGCCCCAAAACCCCTAAACTCCAAGCCCTAAGCCCTAAGCCCTAAGCCCTAAGCCCCAAGCCCTAAGCCCTAAGCCCTAAGCCCTAAGCCCTAAGCCCTAAGCCCTAAGCCCTAAGCCCTAAGCCCTAAGCCCTAAGCCCTAAGCCCTAAACCCTAAACCCTAAACCCTAAACCCTTCAGAACCGTCCCGCAAACTTATAGGGATATCCACTGAACTCCCATGTCTCCCTGAAAGCCAAGCAGAAGGAAAGTCGTTCAAGGCCCAGGCTCGGGCAGCGTCCGAAGCCTCAAAGCTACTTGCGTTGTTCGCGTTTGAGGGCCTAGGGTTTAGGGTTTAGGGTTTAGGGTTTAGGGTTTAGGGTTTAGGGAATCATCGGATTCAGCGTTTTTGGGTTGAGTGTTTGGATTGCATGGTGTACCGAGATGCAGGCCCGCATGGAAGAAAAGAGTCAACATCTTCAGTTGCAGTAGGGCAGGTTTGTACTCGGTAGCCCAGTGGTACCCTTTACCATTATTTTGTTTCTGGGTGCTCTTATAACTTATAAAGTAGCCAGCCCCTGAAAGGGTACTTCTATTGCAAGATACTTACTGGGCTGCCACGTTTTAGCAATAGTTCCGGATCTGCCAATGCCCAACAGTCCTTAAACGATTGAATCCATGTCCCTCTTGTTCACTAAGCGAAAGATAAAATGTTTGCTCTAATACTGGGCCTTGTCTCCCGCGAACATCTAGCGACTGAAATAGTTCGTTAGGTATATTTCGGGAGCGTCGTCGGCTACGTCACCTAGTAATTTTCAGAACAGACGAATGAACACAGAACCATAGGCCTTTGCGAGGTATATTTATTGTAGTATGGGTACAAGCTTGTAATAAGACAAGCATTTCCCATGTTGGGATGAGAACACTCCCATTTTAAGGGATGATGGATGTGGACATCGGCTACTCCCCTAACAGGGTTTCGGGTTCAGGGTTCAGGGTTTAGGGTTTAGGGGAAGTAGTCGTGATATTTGCAGGGGCTGTAGTGGGGGAGTAGGGTAGCTACTGGTATACTCTATTGCCACCCAAGATGGGCAAGGGCTTTGCAAACTCCCCTCCCTCCCCTCCCCCCCGCCCCCCACCGCTCCCAAATCGTGCAAGATCACCGTTCCTGGGTCCAGGCAGAGGCATCGCAACAACCCCCCCCCCCCCCCCCCCCCAGAGACTAAACGGATGGCAAGTCCTCCAAACACCCAAACCCCTAAGCCCCTAAACCCCCAAACACCTACAACAAACCCTAAACCCTAAACCTCCTCCCCTGCAGAAGCTAGGACAAGATCCAGCCGGTAGGGCACGTTCAAACCCTGAGCCCCTCAAACGCCCTTAAGGCCCAACCCGAAACCCAAGAACCCCGACAACCCCTAAACCCTTCAGCCTTAACCCCCTGTAACCCCGAGCCCTAAACCTGAACCCTGAACCCTGAACCCTAAACCCTAAACCCTAAACCCTAAACCCTAAACCCTAAACCCTAAACCCTAAACCCTAAACCCTAAACCCTAAACCCTAAACCCTAAACCCTAAGCCCTAAACCCTAAACCCTAAACCTTAAACCTCAAAACCCTAAACCAACCTGAAACCCAAAAAAAGCCCCCGCACCCGCTGCCATGGCGTACCCGGGCACCAGCGACCTGGGTCCTGGGGCCTCAGTTTCTCGCCAACCTGAGTGTTTCGTGTTTAGGGTTTAGGGTTCAAGGTTTTGGAGGTTTATGAGGGTGGGGTCGGTCGATTACAATTTTTTGTACAATTTTTGTTCTTTTTTTTTTGGGGGGGGGGGGGGGGGGGGTGCACCCGGGTTCCTTTGTCGTTTTCAGTCGGGAAAGGCGAAGGACTGACAAAGGGTTTAAAGTTTATGCGGATGTTTTCGGCCTTGATTTCGTGACCTTGTCTGTTGGGTTTAGGGTTTAGGGCTAGGGTTTAGGCTTTCGGGTTGAGGGTTCTCTTATCCTTCCTAAACACCAAACCCTAAACCCCAAACCCTAAACCCCCTTTGCACCACGACCCAGAATCCGCTGCTGGAGCTGGATCCGGCCGAAATGGAAGGCGGTGGCCTGGCAGATTCGACCTACTTGAAGGTTCATGGTACTTACTAACTAATTATAACTGTACTTATAACCCTACTTCTAATACCCCTAAAGGGCCTTATAGGGGTTATCCCACTTATAAGTAGGGTTATAAGTACAGTTATAATTGGTTAGTAAGTACCATGAACCTTCAAGTAGGTCTTAACATGCTTAAGCTCAGGGGTGAGTAGAGGGCGTTTCCAGGGGTAGGGTTTAGGGCTTAGGGTTTAGGGTTTAGGGTTTAGGGTTTAGGGTTTCGGGTTTAGGGTTTTAACCCTAAACCCTAAACCCCAACCCTATCGGGGAATCAGATGCGGTCTAGGGTGGACTGAAGCTGGTGTATTGCACAGGTGTAGGGTTTGAGGGGTTTGGGGTCGAGGTTGCTTGAGTCTGGGTTTCGGGTTTTCATGGGCGGGTATAGACCCCTAAACTCTAAACCCTAAACCCTAAACCCTTAACCCTAAACCCTAAACCCTAAACCCTAAGCCCTAAGCCCAAAACCCTAAACGCTAGGTAGGCTTCGACGCGCCATCATTGGTGGCTGCAAGAAGCTTGAACTACAGCTGCCCTGCCAAACCCAAACCTCCGGCTCAGGCCGCCGACCCAAGAGGCCCTAAACCTCTCAACGCCCAAAGCTCAAATGCCCCAACTTGGGGGGTGGGGGTCGGGCGGTGGGGGTGGGAGGGGTGGGGGTGGGGGGGTGGTGGGGTGGGGGGGGCTAAACCCTAAACCCTAAACCCTAAACCCTAAACCCTAAACGCTAAACCCGAAAGCTTTGAGGGGCCTTGCAGGCAGAGCGTTTCACTGCTTCTTTTCCGTGCCCAGGAGCCGCAGCAGCGAGTCGAGATGCCAGGTGGGGATTCGTTTCGGTTACTTGCGGGGAGCTAGACGCCAGCTTCGGGTTGAGGTTTAGGGTTTGGGGTTTAGGGTTTAGGGTTTAGGGTTTGGGGTTTAGCCTAAACCCGAAACCCGAAACCCCAAACCCCAAACCACAAACCCCAAACCCCAAACCCTAAACCCTAAACCCTAAACCCTAAACCCTAAACCCGTATTGAGTTTAAGAGTGTTGTTTTTTTTGACTCTTCTTCCGAGAGTTTTAAGTTTCCAGCGCCAACCTAGCAACCAAGAACCTCAAGCCTAAACCCCCAGAACCGCCCTAGAGTGTCAACCTTTGGCCCTAAACCCTAGACCCTATCCCCTAAACCTTTAAACCCTAAATCCCAAACCCAAAGCCCTAAGCCCCAAGCCCCAAGCCCCAAACCCCAAACCCCAAACCCTAAACCCAAACCCCAAACCCCAAACCCCAAACCCTAAACCCTAAACCCTAAACCCAAAACCAGGCAGCCTGAGAACGCCCTGTGTTCGGCCAGGTCGTGCCTCATGAGCTCGTCGAACAGTCTCCGAGCCGGAGCCTCACAAGGTTTAAGGGTTTAGGGTTTAGGGTTCAGGGTTCAGGGTTTAGGGTTTAGGGTTGTTTGGGGATTGGGGCTTTAGGGTCTAAGGTTCAGGGTTTGGGGTTCAGCGTTTGGGTTTTCTTGCCGGGGCGGGGGGGGGGGGGGTTGGATTTTTAACACCCCCTAAACTAGGCAGACCTTTGGGACATTCAGTATTTTTCCTTGTTGGGTTTAAGAGGATCATATTATTCAGGAGTATTTTTCAAGAGGGTTTTCAGGGCCATCCAGCACTTCCTAGCCCGGCATTGCCAGGTCTCCCCCACATGAGCATGTCGTCACATTCTGGATCCTTGACAAGGGGGGACCAACGTCGGGCTGGGGAGGTGGGGCTGCCAACACCACAGACTTCACTTCTGTTTTTGCGCTACCCGAAACAAACGCCCATGCCCCGCATCGACGAGGTGGGCGGGGTTTGGGTTCGGCTCAGGGAGGAGGGAGGCGGATTTTTTGGGGCCTAAGCCTTGAAGCCCCCACCACCTCCTCAAACCCCCCCCCCCCCACCGCACCCCCGGTCCCACCAAAAAAAGGAAACCATACCAAACACCCCAAAGCCTCTAAAGTCCCTGAAGTCCCTGAAGCCCCCAAAAGCCCCCCAACCTCCCCCCCCCCCCTTTTTTAGCCCCCGGAGCCCTAAATCCCAAAACCCCCAAACAATTGACCTTAAACCAAGAAGGAGAATCAACCAGTTCCTCACCTCACAGTGTGCGCATGACTCGAGATCTTTGCCATCAAAGAGCGTGGACGCCGACACGGAGTCTGCCATAGTGGGCATGATCCAGAGGCTGCATGGTCCGCCAGATGCAGCCGGCGGTTGGCGTACCGTCGTTTCTCGAGCCTCGGCATTCTGCGCTTTGTCACAGATCTCAGTGAAACCTCACTTGTGCACCGCCCGCTAGTAGCCCTAAACCCGAAACCCCAAAGCCCTAAAACTCCGAAACCCTACACCCTGAAAATTCCGAAGCTCCGTCGTTGCCCACGGCTTAGCATCACACTACCAGGTTCCCCCTTTCAAAGCAAACCCTCGACCCTGAACCCGAAACCCAAAACCTAGGCCTAAACCCTAAACTGCAATAGTCATAAGACTTAGAAGCAGGAACGACTTACCCCGTCAGGGACCTTTCCATAAGTGACTGCTGGGATCCTAAACCCTAACCCCTGAACCCTAAACCCTCCCCTAGCCCCTAAACCCTAAACCCCCAAAACCCAAAACCCTAAAACCCTAAACCCCCAAACCCTAAACCCTAAACCCTAAACCCTAAACCCTAAACCCTAAACCTTAAACCCTAAACCCTAAACCCTAAACCCTAAACCCTAAACCCTAAACCCTAAACCCTAAACCCCCAACCCCAAACCCTAAACCCTAAACCCTAAACCCCTTACGTGACTGCTGGGAGCAGCCCAGAGGCCTTGCAGGACGCCACCCTGGAGGCAAGAAAGGGCTCTTGGGGGAGTGGGGGGGGGGGGGGTTAGGGTTTAGGGTTTAGGGTTTTGGGGTTTGGGGTTTAGGGTTTAGGGTTAGGGTTTTGGGGTTTGGGGTTTGGGGTTTAGGGTGTGTCAGGGGCGGGCGCGCGCTCAATTGTGAAACGCCCCGGGCCGCGCGCTCGCGTTGCCCGTCAACCCACCCCGGCCACCCAAACTATACTCTATTAGGGTTTAGGGTTTATGGACTTTTTCTTGTGCACCGATGCTTGCTTTTTTGAAGTTGGTGTTTGAGGTTTAAGCTGGAGTCGAGGGTAGCCTCGGCCTTGTTCGGACCTTCGGCGTGTCAGGGCCTTGGGTTCGGGGTAGCCTCGGCCCTTTTCGGGCCTTCGGCACGTCAGGCCCCGTAGAGGCCCTTGCTGATTTGGGGGCTTCCTGGAACTTTCCTGGTCCTTTTGGGGTGAAATGGAGGGGCGCCCAAAACCATCGATTTCAGTACTGAAAAATAACATTTTTCATTGCGGGCAGGGGTGCCTAAAACCATCGTTTTCCATAGTGAAAAATCGCATTTTTCTCTGCGGGCACGGACAAATCTTGGGGTCCCCCTTCTTTGAGGGGGCCTTTTGAAGCTTTTGAAGCCTTTTGGTGGCTCTTGGCGCCTCTTGGGGCTTCCTGGGCTTTCCTGGCGCTTCTGGTGTAAACTGGAGGGGAAAGCCATCGGTTCCAATATTAAAAAACATTTTCATTCATGGTACGGACCCCTTGCGCTTTGGCGCGGGGGGCCTTCCTCTGGCGGGGGTTTTGGCCAAGGGGGCCCTTGGTTGAGGGTTGTTCGTGGCCCGGAAGCCCTTCTAACGGCCCGGAGGAGCCTTGGCCAGGAGGGCCGTTGGCCCGGCGCCCTTTGGGCCCGGACCGGTTGTTGGGGTCCTTGAACGGGCTTGGAAGGTGTTGTTTGTGGCAATTGAGCAACCGACCCCCTCACGGGCCCTCAGGTCCAGGAATCCAAGCCGCCAGGGGCAGCGGGCCCCAGGCAGGGGGGGCCCAGCAAACCCTGAACCCCCGCCATACTTAGCTACGCTATGGTGCCCGCCATCCATCCCTTAGCCGAGTACTGACGTTGTCGTAAAAAAAGGCCGATGTCCGTTGGCCTGTCCAGGACAGACGGTGAGGCTTAACCCTCACCTTTCCGTTTCTCTTTTCGCTTGGGTGCTCGGGCTGTAAGGCCCTCGGCCGAGCGTTCGGGGTCTGTCGCTCGACGGAAGCGACCCCTCACTTAGTTTAGGGTTTAGGGTTTAGCTTTGGGGTTTGGGGTTTTTAGGGTTTAGGGTTTAGGGTTTGGGGTTTGTGATTTTAGGGTTTAGGGCCAGTTTAGGGTTGAGGGTTTATAGGGGCTAGGGTTGCGTTTGGGGGTTCAGGGTTTAGGGTTACGGGAGTCTGGTGTTTTGGGTTTAGCGTTTCGGTGTTATGGGGTTTGGGGCTTAGGGGGTTAAGGGCTTTTGGGGGTTTATGGTGCTTAGGGGTGTATGGGGTTTAGGGTTACTGGGTTTTCGGTTTTAGGGTTGCGGGGGTTTAGGTTTCTGGGGTTTGGGGGGTTTAAGGACAGGGTTTAGGGGCCTTAAGACCCAGGGTTCAGGGCGTTTAGGGATTAGGGTTTAGGGTTGTGGGGCTTTCGGGTATAGGATTACGGGTTTTGGGGTTTCGGCTGTTGGGGGTCTATGGGGTTTTGGGTTTAGGCGTTTGAGGTTTGATGGGGTTTAGGGTTATGGGGTTTAGCGGTTTAGGGTTATGGGGGTGTCGGGTTTTAGGGGGTTTCGGGTCATGGGGTTTAGGTGGGGTTAAACCCTAAACCCTAAACCCTAAACCCTAAAACCCCAAACCCCAAAGCTAAACCCTAAACCCTAAACCCTAAACCCTTACCCGAGACCCTAGACCCTAGACCCTACACCCCAAACTAGCTCTTACACCCTAGACCCCTCGCCCGGAAGTCCCAGGAGCTAGCAAGCGCGCTGACCACACAGCTGAATAAGGCCGGCGCCACCTTTGACAGCTATCAACCCTAAGCCTGGGGTTTTGGGTTCAGGGTTTAAGGTTTAGGGTTTAGGGTTTAGGGACTGAAGCCCTAAGCACCCTAAACGACCCAGAATAGGGTTTTACAGTCAGGGTTTAGGGTTTATAAACCCTAAACCCTAAGCCCTAAAGCCCCTGAGTTTGGCCTATTTGTACCATCTCGAGCATTTAACTGAAACCCAGCTGGAACTCGATTTTAAGGCTCGAAGTGGTTCCGAAGAAGCCCTAGTGGGCTTAGGGTTGATGAGGGTTTAGGGTTATAAATGTATATGTATGTGTATGTGGAGGTGTATATGTACATGCAAATGTATATGTATATGTATATGTAACTGTAAGTGTAACTGTAACTGTATATGTATATGTATATGTATATGTATATGTATATGTATATGTGTATGTATATGTATATGTGTATGTGTATGTATATGTATATATATATATATATGTATATGTGTATGTGTATGTATATGTATATAACTAAAAAACACAAATATATAAATAATATATATATATATATATATATATATATATACATATATACATACATACATATGTATGTATGTGCGTTATTGGGTTCCTGAGCATAGCACAGCACTCTTCCGTGGGGCATGGCACAAACTTTCGTGATCAAGGCGACCGACGGAATCTCAGTGTAGTGTAGTGGAAAAGGAAAGCTGTCCTGGGGCGTAAAGCAATATGTAGTCCCAATGCTATGGGACCAAACCCTAAACCCTAATCCCTAAAACCCTCAACGACCACGTCCTAAAACAGCGACTAAACAAGCACTCAGAAAGAGATCCCCAGCCCCGAGCCCTTTAAACCACCCTAAACCCTCAAACTGCGCAAGCCCTAAACCCTAAACCCTAAACCTTAAACCCTAAACCCCAAAGAGCGCAGGACCGCGAGGCCGCGCGACAGCAGATGCAGACGCTGCTGGCCGCGGAGAAGCTCGTGGAGGTCATCCTTGGGGGGTTTACCATTGGGGTTTTGGGGTTTTAGGGTTTTAGCGCTTAAGGTTTAGGGTTTAGGGTTTTAGGGTTTTCGGGTTTTAGGGTTTTAGGGTTTTAGGGTTTTGGGTTTTTGGGTTTTAGGGTTTTAGGGTTTTAGGGTTTTAGGGTTTTAGGGTTTTAGGGTTTAGGGTTTTTAGGGTTTTAGGGTTTTAGGGTTTTAGGGTTTTAGGGTTTTAGGGTTTTAGGGTTTTAGGGTTTTAGGGTTTTAGGGTTTTAGGGTTTTAGGTTTTTAGGGTTTTAGGGTTTTAGGGTTTTAGGGTTTTAGGGTTTTAGGGTTTTAGGGTTTTAGGGTTTTAGGGTTTTAGGGTTTTGGGGTTTTGGGGTTTTGGGGTTTTAGGGTTTTAGGGTTTTAGGGTTTTAGGGTCTGATTTCGGGTTTGGAGTTTACATTGGGGTTTTGGGGTTTGGGGTTTTAGAGCTTTGGGTTGAGGGTCTAGGTTTTTCGGTAGGGAACAAAAAGGCTTTAGGGGCCTTCAGGGTTTACATAAGTCTTACGGGCGTTTAGGGCTTTTCAAGAGCCTTTCGGGGCTTGCGGGGCTCATATAGGGTTTTCGGGGTTTTTCGGGTTTACGTAAAGCTTTTAGGGGCTTTCGGGGTCATAAAGGGTTTTAGGGGCCTTCAGTAAGGGCTTATATAGCTTTTCGGGATTCTTTCGGAAACCCTATATAAGCCTTAACAGCCCCCCCATGCCCGCCCCGAAAACCCTAAAACCCTAAAATCAAAGCCCAAAGCCCAAAGCCCAAAGCCCAAAGCCCAAAGCCCAAAACCCAAAACCCTAAACCCTAAGCCCCTAGCCCTAAGCCCTAAACCCTGCTGCGCCTGAAAAGAGCGATTCCGGTTAAACAAAAAACGCCCTAAACCCTAAACCCATGAAAGGAGAAGCGCCAACAGCTGATGGAGGTCGAGCGGAGGATCTTCGCCCCGAGCTCAGCTCGGTCGAAGGTCTAGAGGCTTCCGGGGTGTGGGTTTAGGGTTTAGGGTTGAGGGTTGAGGGTTGAGGGTTTAGGGGTTGACGGTTTAGGGTTTCAGCATTCAGGGTTGTAGAATTGAGGGTTTGGGGTATAGAGGAAGTAGGGCATTGGGCTTTAGACTTCGCGGTGTTGAAGTCTTGCTGTTCCAGGGGTTTAGGGCTTTTGGATTTCTTAGGGCTCCAGTCTTTTGCCTTAAAGTTTTTCTCTACCTTGCTGGCATTCTCTTCTTGACACCCCTAAACCCGCAACCTAAGAGACTCTTACGGTTTTTCATCCTTCGCAGGGTTAAACCCTAAACCCTAAACCATAAACCATAAACCATCGACTGCTTGAGTTAAGCACCATTCTCGGCACTCGGCGGTGTAGGGTACCATAAGTAAGCAAGGGACATGTACCAGTAGTTCAGGCACACTTTCTTTTTATTGGAGCAAGGATTGCTCCACCCCCCAAACCCCAAGCCCTAAGCCCGAAGCCCTAAGCCCTAAGGCCCAAGCCACAAGCCCCAAGCCCTAAGCCCTAAACCCTAAGCCCTAAACCCTAAACACTAAACCCTAAGCTCTAAACCCTAAACCCTAAACCCTAAACCCTAAACCCTAAACCCTAAACCCTAAACCCTAAACCCTAAACCCTAAACCCTAAACCCTAAACCCTAAACCCTAAACCCTAAGCCCTATTCTAATTATTTCAGGCCCTAAGTCCCAAGCCCCAAGCCTTAAGCGCGAAGCCCTAAGGCCGTTGTGGACAGCATCGACGACGTCATCGAGTTGAACGTGGGAGGCCAGGCCTGGGTAGCCCCTGAGCTCCTCCACGGGTCTGGGTTTAGGGTTTAGGGGTTTAGGGGTTTAGGGGTTTAGGGGTTTAGGGGTTTAGGGGTTTAGGGGTTTAGGGGTTTAGGGGTTTAGGGGTTTAGGGGTTTAGGGGTTTAGGGGTTTCGGGGTTTCGGGGTTTCGGGTTTAGGGTTTAGGGCTTGGGGTGGTAGCCCCCTGAGTTCCCCCACCTCGTATAATTTGGGCCCAGCCTTTCTGGTTCAGGGTTTAGGGTTTAGGGTTTAGGTTTAGGGTTTGTGGTTTTGGGTTAGGGTTTGGGGGGGTTTAGGGGTTTCAAGCTTTCTATGGGGGTTTACGAAAATAGGGGACCCTTAAAATAGACCCCAAATAGTAGGGCTCCCTTATAATCAGGACCCAATCAGGTACCAAACTTTGGGAAACCCCCATATGCCTCAGTATTGGAATAGGAAGTTGAGGGGTTTAGGGGTTTGGGGCTTAGGGCCTAGGGTTTAGGGGGTTTGGGGCTTAGGGGCCCTACGCCCCAACACCTTAAGTTGGCAAATCCCTAAAGCAGAACCCCAAGGACCCAAACAGAGAAGAGGCTTCAGGTTACTTACTGGTTCTTAGTAGGGAATTAGGGTTAGTTTAGGGTTTAGGGTGAAATGGGACACTTACTGGTTCATAGAAGAGAATGAGGGAATGAGGTAATTTGGATTTAGGGATTACGGTTTAGGCCTGATTGGTTAGGGTTAGGGGAACATACTTACTGGTTCTTAGGGGGGTTCAGGGGTTTGGGGGTGGTGGGGCTTAGGGCTTTTTTTGGGGGTTTTGAAGTATAGGGTTTAGGGTTTTAGGGTTTTTAGGGCTTTGGGGTTTAAGGTTTCGGGCTACCACTATGACTTAACTTATGTACCCTAAGCCCTCTGTTGCAACCGGCTTGAGATGCTGCACGCCCAGCCTAAGCCCCAAACCCTAAACATCTGCTTTGGGGTTTTGGGGTTTAGGGATTTGGGGCTTTTGGGGTCCCGGGTCTAGGGGTCAAGGGCTGCGGGTTCCGGGGCTGAGGCTTTTAGGGTTTAGGCGTTTAGGGGTTTAGGGGGTCTTAGGGTTTAGGGTTCGGGGGTTTAGGGTGTAGGGTTTGGGGGTTTAGGGTTTAGGGTTTAGGGTTTAGGGTTTACGGTTTAGGGCCACAGCTGCATCAGGCCAGTACATGAGCACCACGAGGGCGGTCCTCTGCAGCGCCACTGGCTCCCTATTGGCTGGTGGGGACCTCAGTGGGTTTAGGGTTTAGGGTTTAGGGTTCAGGGTTCAGGGTTCAGGGTTTAGGGTTTAGGGTTTAGGGTTTAGGGTTTAGGGTTTAGGGTTTAGGGTTTAGGGTTTAGCACAGATATGTCGACTCGCACAGCCCAAGCCCCCAAACCCTGAACCCCTAAATTCTGAACCCCCTCAACCCTCAACCCTAAACCCCAGGTTCGGGGGTTTTGGGTGGATTCAGGGGAGGGTTTAGGGAAAGTTTAGGGCTTAGGGTTTAAGGTTTTGGGCGGTTTAGGGTTTAGTGCGGTTTAGGGTTCAGGGTTGTTAGGGTTACAGGGGGTTTCAGGGGTTTCAGGGTTCAAGGGGGTTTGGGTTGGGGCTTCCGGCGTGTTCGGTCGATGGGCCCCCATCCAGGAATGTTCTCCGGCAACTTCGATGAGGGCCACAAACGCGACAAGGCCGTCCTCGACCCTCAGCCCTCACCCCTAAACCCCCATACCCTAAAACCCTAAACCCTAAGCCCCAAACCCTAAACCTAAAGCCCCAAAACCCTGAATCCCTGAACCCAAACCACAGAAACCCTAACCCCAAGCCCTAGCCCTAAACCCTAAACCTGAAACCCTCAAACCCTAACACACTGAAGCCCTAAACCCTGAGCCCTCAACCACTTCGGGGGGGTGAAGCGCCGCATCCTGAACCCTAAGCCCTAAACCCTAAACCCTAAACCCTTAATCCTTAACCCACTGAGGTCATTGAGTTGCTGTCATAGGACCCCTCGGAAGCCCCTTTTGATTGTTTGGGCCAGTTTGGGCATCGGAGTCCTTCCTGAAACCCCAAACCCCAAACCCCGAACCCTAAACCGAAAACCCCAAATCCTGAACCCTAAACCCTAAACCCTAAACCCGAAACCCCAAACCCTAAACCCTAAACCCTAAACCCCAGGCCCCCCCGCCTCCCTATCGCTGGCCAGGATGGCCGCATCTTCTTGGATGTGGACCCGACCTTGTTCGAGAAGGCCCCTTCGGCTCCTGACCTTGGAGCCCTAAACCCTAAACCCTAAACCCTAAACCCTCAACCCTCAACCCTCAACCCTCAATCCTAGACCCTAGACCCTAGACCTAGACCCTAGACCCTAAACCCTAAACCCTAGACCCTAAACCCTAAACCCTAAACCCTAAACCCTGAACCCTGAACCCTGAACTCTGAACCCTGCACCCTGGACCCTGGACCCTCTCAACGTTTGGTTGGCTTAGGGCTTGAGGACCCCAGACCCAAAACCCCAAAACCCTAAGCTCCTAAACCTGAAGGGTTTAGGCTTTGGGGTTTAGGCATGCCACGGTTTGGGGTGGGCTTGGGTTTAATTTTGGGTTTCGGGTTTCGGGTTTAGGGTTTAGGGTTAGGCTTTAGGATTCAGGGTACGGATAAGCCTTTGGGGCATGCGCTCTCTCCCCTTTTGTTGGGGGCCATCATGATCCTCTGAAACCTTAAGCCCTCCACCCTAAACCCTGAATAGTTGGGGGTTTAGGGTTTGGACTGTGCATAGCAACTGACCCCCCCCCTTTCATTGGTTGGGGGGGTCCACTGTCTTTTTCGGAATATCTTTGAGCAATCTGAGGGTTTAGGCTTTAGGGTTCGGGTTTAGGGTTTAGGGTTTAGGGTTTGGGGTTTGGGGTTTGGGGTTTGGGGTTTGGGGTTTGGGGTTTGGGGTTTGGGGTTTGGGGTTTAGGGTTTGGGGTTTGGGGTTTGGGGTTTGGGGTTTGGGGTTTCCGGGTTTAGGGTTTAATTAGGGTTTAGGGGTTAGGGTGTAGGGTGTAGAGTGGAGGGTGTATGGTTTAGGGTTTAGGGTTTAAGGGTTATGGGAGGAATCCCTGAGCCCCACAACTTTGAACGCCTTAAGCGGAAATGCTCGGCCATTGCTCGTTTGACTTGGTTGGCTACCATGCCTATTGAAACTTGGCTGGTCCCCAGATCACCAACTTGCTGCAGATTCGCACCCGAACCTGTGGCATTGGCCTTCACATGCGGCTACGGTGCAGCTCAGGACGCTGTGTCTTTACCCCAGATAGACGCCGCAAATGTGATAATAAGCACTTTCCAGTAAAGTTCCGGTTCGGTTCGGTTCGTTTCGGTTCGCGGGCCGGCGGTTCGTAGCGGTTCGGTTCGTTCGGCGGTTCCGGTTCCTAGCGGTTCTGTGCGTTTTCGGTTCGGTTCGGTTCGGTTCCAGAAAACCCGAAAGCCCTAAACACACCGAAGCCCTCATGTTCTGGACCCTTCTGATATGGCAGGTTACCAGGTTTGGACCCCCCAAACGTGCAGGTTTCCAGGTCTGGGCCCCGGAAACGTGCAGGTTTCCAGGTTTAGACCTGCCAAAACGTGCAGGTTTGCAGGTTTGCAGGTTTGGACCCCCCCAAAACGTGCAGGTTTCCAGGTTTGGACCCCCCAAAACGTGCAGGTTTCCTGGTTTGGACCCCCAAAACGTGCAGGTTTCCAGGTTCAAACGTGCGTGCAGGTTTCCAGGTTTGGACCCCCTAAACGTGCGGGTTTCCAGGTTTGGACCCCCCAAAACGACGTTTGGGGGGTCCAAACGTTTTGGGAGGAATCTGCACGTTTTGGGGGGGTCCAAACCTGGAAACCTCCACGTTTTGGGAGGTCCAAACCTGGAAACCTGCACGTTTGGGGGGTCCAAACCTGGAAACCTGCACGTTTTGGGAGGTCCAAACCTGGAAACCTGCACGTTTCCCGCGATCCCGTGTCAAAGGGATCGCGGAAAGGTTGTGGAGTGTACACGACACAACAAAGACAACTACTTTACAGGACACTAAACGTTAAGGTCGGCTTGCACTTGCGGACCTAGCCCTGACATAAAAAGAACCCCAAATCTGGTTGAGGGTCCCTAACCCAAAACTCAACGTTTGGGTTTGGGGGGTCCAAACCTGGAAACCTGCACGTTTTGGGGGGTCCAAACCTGGAAACCTGCACGTTTCAGGGGTTGGAAACCTGCCGCAGGTTTCCAGATCTGGACCCCCCAAAACGTTGACGTTTCCAGGTTTGGACCCCCCAAAACGCGCAGCTTTCCAGGTTTGGACCTGCAGGTTTCCAGGTTTGGACCCCCCAAAACGTGCAGGTTTCCAGGTTTGGACCCCCCAAAACGTTGACGTTTCCAGGTTTGGAGACCCCAAAACGTGCAGGTTTCCAGGTTTACAACAAAAAAGTGCAGGTTTCCAGGTTTGGCCCCCCCAAGTGCAAGCCGACCTTAACGTTTAGTGTCCTGTAAAGTAAGTTGTCTTTGTTGTGTCGTGTACACTCCACAACCTTTCCGCGATCTTTGACACGGGATCGCGGGAAACGTGCAGGTTTCCAGGTTTGGACCTCCCAAAACGTGCAGGTTTCCAGGTTTGGACCCCCCCAAACGTGCAGGTTTCCAGGTTTGGACCTCCCAAAACGTGCAGGTCCAGGTTTGGACCCCCCCAAAACGTGCAGATTCCTCCCAAAACGTGCAGGTTCCAGGTTTGACCCCCCAAACGTCGTTTTGGGGGGTCCAAACCTGGAAACCTGCACGTTTAGGGGGTCGAAACCTGCAAACCTGCACGCACGTTTGAACCTGGAAATCTGCACCTTTGGGGGGGAAACCTGCACGTTTTGGGGGGTTCCAAATCTGAAACCTGCAAACCTGCACGTTTGGGGGGGTCCAAACCTGGAAACCTGCACGTTTTGGGGGGTCCAAACCTGCAAACCTGCACGTTTTGGCAGGCCAAACCTGGAAACCTGCAGGTTGCAGGGGTCCTGGAAACCTGCCGCAGGTTTCCAGGCAGGTTTCCAGGTCCCAAAACGTGCAGCTTTCCAGGTTTGGACCCCTCAAAACATTGACGTTTCCAGGTTTCCAGTGCAGGTTTGCAGGTTTGGACCCCCCAAAACGTGCAGGTTTCCAGGCCCCCAAACGTGGCTGTTGGTGGCTTTTCGGAGACCCTGGATCCAATGACCCTGGCCATGCGAACTGGAGGTAGGCTCCGTCCACACGGGCCTGGCCATGCAAACTGAAGGTAGGGAACTGAAGCTAGGCTCCGTGCACATGGCCCTCACAATGCGAACTAAAGCCAGGCTCCGTTCACATGGCCCATGCGAACTGCAGGTTTCCAGGTTTGGACCCCCCAAAACGTGCAAGTTTCCAGGTTTGGACCCCCCAAAAACGTGCAGGTTTCCAGGTTTGGATCCCCCAAACGTGCAGGTTGCAGGTTTCCAGGTTTGGACCCCCAAAACGTGCAGGTTTCCAGGTTTGGACCCCCCTAAACGTGCAGGTTCGTGCAGGTTTCCAGGTTTGGACCCCCCCCAAAACGTGCAGGTTTGGACCCCCCCAAAACGTGCAAACTGCACGTTGGGAGAGTCCAAACGTGCACGTTTTGGGGGTCCAAACCTGGAAACCTGCACGTTTTGGGGGTCCAAACCTGGAAACCTGCACGTTTTAAGGGGCTCAAACCTGGGAACGTCAACGTTTTGGGGGGTCCAAACCTGGAAACCTGCACGTTTGGGGGCTGGAAACCTGCACGTTTTGGGAGGTCCAAACCTGGAAACGTCAACGTTTTGGGGGGTCCAAACCTGGAAGCCTGCACGTTTTGGGGGGTTCAAACCTGGAAACCTGCACGTCTTGGGAGGTTTGTCAACCTGGAAACCTGCGCGTTTTGGGAGGTCCAAACCTGGAAACCTGCACGTTTGGGTGCATTTTGGGAGGTCCAAACCTGGAAACCTGCACGTTTGGGGGGTTCCCGAGACCATGCAATATAGGTTTAAGGACCTCGAAACCTGGACAAAACCTCTTCACTCCAATCGTGACAGAAATGTTTGGGGCTCTGTGCGCATCTCCAATGACGAGTTTGAAGGGGCCAAAACTTGATTCTAGGCCCTGAAAATCCGGATAGAACCATGATATCTTCAAGCCTTGCACCTCCAAGACCCTTCAATTTTGGAGGGTTAGCCGAGAACCGAGTCATGTTTTTGCGACAGTTTGATTGTTTCAAAACAAGTTTGGAGGGACCCAAACCTTTCAGCATCATGCTCTATTTGACTTGGGCTCCTGGCCGAAACCGGTTCGCTGTCGAAACGGTTCCGGTTTTCGGTTCGCTTGCGGTTCGCGGTTCCTACGGTTCGTGTTTGCTGGCCGGTTTTGGCGGTTCGGTTCGTGGCGGTTCGGTTCGTGCGGTTCCGGTTCGGTTCCAGAACCTTCCTGACTTTCATGATTTGGGGGTTTAAGTACCTTTGAACCTCCAAGTATAAGGCAAGAACGTTGATGACGTTTCTAAGGTTACGGATGCTAAACCCTGAACCCTACACCCTAAACCCCAAACCCTAAATCCTAAAGCCTAAACCCTAAATCCTGAACCCTAAACCCTAAACCCTTCGTTGAGAGCCCAGCGCGGGTCTTGCAAAGTTTGGCAACGAGCCAAGTCGCGCAAGCCTTCAGGGGACGAGGCGCTGGAACGCGCCGGGGTAGAGGCAAGCGTTTCAGGCTGTGTTTAGGGTTCATGGTTTAGGGTTTAGGGGTTTAGGGTTTTAGGGTGTTAGGGGTTTAGGGTTTAGGGTTTAGAGGTTTTCGGGTTTTGGGGTTTTGGGGTTCAGGGTTTAGGGTTTAGGGTGATGGGTTTCGGGTTTAATTAGGGTTTAGGCGTTTAGGGTTTAGGGTTTAGGAGGTCATTGCGCAGACCCTCAAGCGCAGGTCTTGCGCCACTTGCGCCTGCGGCGCATCGCCAGCCCTGAGCGCCTTGGTTCGGTGTCAGCTCCGTTGGGGGTTTAGGGTTTAGGGTTTAGGGTTTAGGGTTAAGGGTTTAGGGGTTTGGGGTTTAGGGTTTAGGGTGTCGGGGTTTGGGGTTTAGGGTTTAGGTTTTCGGGTTTTAGGGTTTGGGGCTTAGGGCTTAGGGTTTAGACCTTTGGGGGTTTAGGGTTTGGGGTTTCATGCCAGCGAGAGGCTAAGTTGCCTGAACAAATGGCGACCAGGGTGGGCTGTTGGATAGCCATCAACGCCCGTTGCCTAGCGGGGCTTATCTTGCTTCGGGCCTAAACCCTAAGCCCTAAGCCCTAAACCCTAAACCCGAAACCCGAAACCCTAAACCCTAAACCATAAGCCCTGAACCCTGAACCCTGAACCCTGAACCCTGAACCCTGAACCCTGAACCCTGAACCCTGAACCCTGAACCCTGAACCCTGAACCCTGAACCCTGAACCCTGAACCCTGAACCCTGAACCCTGAACCCTACACCCCAAACCCTAAACCCTAAACCTTGTAGAAAAGGCAGCCGGCTCCCCTGCCTCACGTGCCGGAGGAGGGGGTGAGGGTTTTCGGGCTTTGGATTTGGGGTTTAGGGCTTAGGGTTTAGGGTTTAGGGTTTAAACAATGCTGAACGAGACTTGAAGCCTCAAACCCTAGTCAAGTCCCAAACCCACAAAGCCACCAAACCACCAAGCCCCAAAAATCCAAAACCTCCCAGGCCTTTCAACCCTCAACCCCCCCCCCCCACCCCCCCCAAGCCCTCAAACTTGCACACCCAAACTTACCCAGAACACGAAGCCCTGAACCCTGAACCCTGAACCCTGAACCCTGAACCCTGAACCCTGAACCCTGAACCCTGAACCCTGAACCCTGAACCCTGAACCCTGAACCCTGAACCCTGAACCCTGAACCCTGAACCCTGAACCCTGAACCCTGAACCCTGAATCCTGAACCCTGAACCCTGAACCCTGAACCCTGAACCCTGAACCCGAATCCAAACCCTAAGCTCTAAACTCTAAACTCTAAACCCTAAACCCTAAACCCTAAATCCTAAACCCTAAGGCCTGCAGTTGTGGTAAGCAGGGAGGGCGCACCCAGCCGAAGTGGGCGCAGGGCTGGGGGGATCCCCGTCGTGGCACCCTGTCTTTTTTCGATTGTTTCTTGTTTGGACCTTTACTTGGCTTGGTCTTAGGGTTTAAGTTTAAGTATAAGGTTAAGGTTTCAGGGTTTCACCGTTTGGGAGTTTTGGGGGTTTTGATTTTTTTGAGTTGCCTCAGGAGTTCAAAGGTTCCGCCTCACTTTCATGGCTGCGGCCAAGTAGACCCATGCATGAAGGGTCATTGGGGGGGTTAATTTGCCCGGGGATCATCGTAGTTTGGGATATGCCCCTGGAACCCGCGTGTTGGGGAAATTGCCCAGAAGGTCCCCCCGAAACCTCCCAGTCAGTGGGAGGTTCGATTCCTAAACCCCAAAACACCCCGTAAAACCCTACACCTTGGGATGTTATACTAACAGTCCTCAATAGGGATTATATTACCCCCATTAGCATCCCGATTACTGCTGATTGCTTAAGAACACAGACAAAGTAAGAGTATTCTTCCTTATTAAGGGTAACATAGGGATGATTGTATCTTGTTCTTGTGGGGTTCTTAAGCAAATAGTAGATTGAGGACTGTGAGTATAAGGGGGACCCGGGAGGAGCTGCGGCCGGAGTGGGACATGATGATCAAGTACTTCGGGCTTGACACCTTCATGTGCGCAGCGCGGGGTTTAGGGTTTAGGGTTTAGGGTTTAGGGTTTAGGGTTTAGGGTTTAGGGTTTAGGGTTTAGGGTTTAGGGTTTAGGGTTTAGGGTTTAGGGTTTAGAGTCGTTGTTTCGTTTTGTTTTTGCACGGTTTTGTTGTAGGATTTTCAGGGTTTCTAGGCATTCCACAAGGTTATTAGGATGTTCAATAGTGCCTTCATTCCCTTTCTTGGAAGTTAGGCCTGTGTATCAACCTACTTCAAACCAAACAAGAGTGCACGGTTTTGCTTAGGTCCTGTTATAGGGTCCTTAAGGGAGGGGGTTCAAAGGGGGTTTGCAACCGAAGGTTACTACTCCCCACTACTCCCTAGGCTCCCTGAGATAATCCTGGCTAAGTGTTCGCGGGTCAGGATCAGGCGTTCCAAAGCATTCAACTAGACCATGTAGTTTGACGACTGCGACTCTTGTCCAAAGATGGATTCGGCACATGATCACCGCGAGTTTCAAACTCGGATTGAAGCCTCAACCCTAAACCATCAACCCTCAACCCTAAACCCTGAACCCTAAACCCCTAAACCCTGGGGCTGCGGCCCTGTAGAAGCTCCTGCAACACGACTGCTTTCCCGACCGAGCGCGCCGGCAGTTCGACCCAGCCTCTTAAACCCTGTAAACCCTCAAGGGTTCAGGGTTTAGGGCTTAGGGTTTATAGGGTTTAGGGTTTAGGGCGTTTAGGGTTTAGGGTTTAGGGTTTATAGGGTTTAGGGTTTAGGGTCTAGGGTCAAGCCCCTGAAAGTTTCTTTTCTCCAAGACACCCAAGAGCCCCGGGGCGTCGCGGGGGGTTCCGAGCTCGCAAGTTCCCACAGGTACGGGGATCTGGGCACCAGCTGCAATATCTTCCAGAGGCCCTAGGGTTTAGGGTTTAGGGTTTAGGGTTTGGGGTTTAAGGGTTTAGGGGTTTAGGGTTTAGGGTTTAGGGTTTAGGGTTTAGGGTTTAGGGTTTAGGGTTTAGGGTTTAGGGTTTAGGGTTTAGGGTTTAGGGTTTAGGGGTTTGGGCAGTTTGTCAATTTGTGTAGGGGCTCGGAGGTTCTGATGTGCGTTTGGGGCTTTCGGATGTCCGGTTGCTTCTTGTGCTGGGTTCCTCAGGCTGGATTCAAGGACGGGGTCCTGAGATAGAGGTTCCGGGCTTAGGGTTTATATAGGGTTCCGGGTTGTGGTGCATGTGCTTACCCTAAACCCTAAACCCTAAACCCTAAACCCTAAACCCTAAACCCTAAGCCCTAAGCCCTAAACCCTAAACCCTAAACCCTAAACCCTAAACCCTAAACCCTAGACCCTAGACCCTAAACCCTAAACCCTAAACCCTAAACCCCTGAGCTCGAAGCCGAAATCCTACCTGGGTGCCCAGCTGGCTGCTATCTTGCCCCATATGTAAGCCGGCTCTAGAAGCAAGACCTGCATTTCTCTGGGTTTAGGGTTTAGGGTATAGGGTATAGGGTATAGGGTTGAGGGTTTAGGGTTTAAGGTTTAGGGTTTAGGGTTTAGTGTTCAGGGTTTAGGGCTTAGGGTTTAGGGTTTAGGGTTTAGGGTTCAGGGAGACCCTAAACCCTAAAGCCTCAAGTGCAGGATTGCAGAGCTGGCCTGTGTGGAACAGGAGAAGTTGCAGCCCGGGGTCTCAGATCTGCTTCTACGCGGTGTTAGGGTCACTTGGGTTTAGGGTTTAGGGTTTATGGTTTAGGGGTTTAGGGTTTAGGGTTAGGGGTTTAGGGTTAGGGTTTAGGGTTCAGGGTTCAGGGTTTTTATGGTTAAGGGCTAAGTGGACACATTCTACTTGATGGCCCTAAGTCTTGGGGGGGCATGTGGTAGATCCCTACTTCGGCTCCCTGTTGGACCCGACTCCGGTAGGGGCCATAAGAAAGATAAAGGGTGCCGACAAAAGGGACCACATTTCGGAGAGCTCACTATTTGGGTTTAGGGGTTTTGGGGTGTAGTGTCATTAGTTTTGTTCTACTTCTTCTTTATATATAGTTTGTATATAAACAAATAAACAAATAGATAAAAACAAGTACATGATAGATAGGGGGGCGGGGCGGGGACCCTTTCGGCACATGTCAATCCGGAGCGAGAATGTCCTACAGTGGCAGGTGCCGAATGGCCGCAAATGCCTGCAACCCCGAAACCCTACTCAAAACCCTCCAGAGCCCGAAGGCCCAAAACCCAAAACCCCCCCAACCCTCCAAAACCTCCCCAAACCCCCCAAACATCCCCAAACATCCCCAAACATTCCCAAACATTCCCAAACATCCCCAAACATCCCCAAAAGTCCCCAAACCCCTCCCCTCTCTCCTCAACAACACCCCTCAAAAAGCAAAGGGAGAGCGACCTCGTCCGCATCACCCTCAGCTCAACGGGTGGTGTCCCTTCTGCAAGCCACCAGGAGGCGCGGACCCCGGGAGCGTTGAGCGCTGAGGGTTTAGGTTTAGGGTTTAGGGTTTAGGGCGGTTTAGGGCTTAGGGTTTCGGGTTCAGGGTTTAGGGCTTAGGGACCCCGGAAAAGTGCTGAACACTGAAACCCCCAAAAAAACAGAAACCCGAAACGCGTAACCCTGCCTGCGCCCTCTACAGCCCTAAGCAAGCTTATGGGGCTTATCGGGTTTGGGATTTAGGGTATATAGGGTTACGGGTTCGGGGTTTCAGTTTTGGGGTGACTACGGTTTGGTGTGTACGTAGGGTTTAGGGCTTGCTCTTGTGCTTGCTCGAGCCATTTCAAAATGTGTTCTTGTTCGGCAGTTGACAGCCACAAGTCTTTTGCGTAGTGTTTGGTTGAGTGCCTGTGTTTTTGCATTATGTAAGTTTATGGTTTGTGTTTATTGTACTGCATGCTTTCATATTTGTTCTGCAACCAGGTGCCATGGTCCTTCAGCTCGCGCGGCGCGGGTTGCGGGTCCTCCACGAAAAAAAGCCGGGTACCCCCCGCGCGGAGGGGAAAAGTTGGTTTTCACCTCTCAAACCCATCCAGCCAACACGCCGCCAGGGTCGGCGGACCCTAAACCAATCCCAAACCCCAAACCCCAAACCCCAAACCCCAAACCCCAAACCCCAAACCCCAAACCCCAAACCCCAAACCCCAAACCCCAAACCCCAAACCCCAAACCTCAAACCTCAAACCTCAAACCTCAGACCCAAACCAGCTAAAGTAGGACCCCCCCAACCCTCAACCAGAAGCCCTGGCCAGTTAAAGCAGTGGCAGGATCCCGAAACCTCGAGACAAACGCGAATTGGGTTTGGGGTTTAGGGTTTCGGGTGTAGGCTTCAGGGTAACCCTAAACCCTAAACCCTAAACCTAAACCCTCAACCCGAAACCCTCAACCCGAAACCCGAAACCCTAAACCCCGAAAACCAGTATGAAGGTCCTGGGCGCCATGGGCTTTTCGGAGCGCTCGTTGGAGAACAGCTGCCTGGGCGGATCCTACGAAGTTTGTGCGGGGTTTTGGAGGGCTTGGTAGGGTTTAGTCGGGCGGATTGGGGCAGTTTTGTTTAGTAGGGCTTAGTAGGGTTTGATTGCAGTGCTGAGGGTTTGGGGTTTCGGGTTTGGGGGTTTAGGGTTTAGGTTTAGGGTTTAGGATTAGGCTGAAGCGTGGAGCATGGCTAGCTGTGCTTTAGGGCTTATGGTCTGGGCCCTGGCAGTCCGGGTTTCGGGGCTTAGGGTTTGGGGTTTAGGGGGGGGGCTCTAAGGGTTTGGGGGTTCAGGTGGGCCCGTAGGCTCAAGTGAGTCAGACACGTACCCCTAAGGTTGTACCCCTAAAGGTTCCCCCTCAAATACTCCGAATATGGCCCTTAAATTCTTTCAGGCCCAAGGGTCCAACCTTAAGGGTCCAAGGTAGAACCCCGAATTTAGGGGCTGAATAATTGGAACAGGGCTTGTGGAGCTTGCTATAGTAAAGTTATAAAGGGACCCTAACGGCAATATTACTAGCAATTCTTCCGACCCTATGTTTTGGGATGTTCCCCTTGATACTAACAGTCCTTAATAGGGATTGGAGTACCCCCCCCCCCCCCCATTAAATTATAATCCCTATTAAGGACTGTTAGTTGGAGTAGGAAGAAGAGTAGGAGTAGTGGTAATTGTCGTCGCAACCGTCGTTGCCCTCAACCCTCTGTCGGGCCTGAGCCTAGAGCTGCAAGAGGTTTTAGGGTTTGGGGTTTGGGGTTTGGGGTTTGGGGTTTAGGGTTTGGGGTTCAGGGTTTGGGGTTTGGGGTTTAGGGTTTTGGGAACCCAGGCTATGGGGCGCACCCGCCGGGGTCCCAGTGCAGAAGCCTGTTTGTGTTCTCTCGGGTCTTGGGCATATAGAGTTAGAGTTCAGGGTTTGGGGTTTTCAGGGTCTGAGAAATTCGCCACACCCTCAACCCTAAAAAACCCCAAGCCCTTAACTCGGAAAGCCCAGGTCTCCTTGTCTTTCTTATGGTTGAGGCCTTAATTTGGGCATTTAGGGTGTGGGGTTCCTGTGCTTGATGGTTTTTTAAGTGGTGTGATTAGTGGATCACCTTCGTTGCAGCCTAGTAGAACCCAACTAAGGTAGGTGTAACTCTACGCTCTCCTTGTCTGACTTCCGACTTAGGAACAGCATCGCGATCAGGTTCCTGAAGCACCGCGTGCGGCTCTCAGCGGAGCGGAGCCAATTCGATCTTAGGGTTTGGGTCTACTTTGGCTGTATTAGGTAGTAGGGCCCAAAAATCCACGACTAACTTCGCAGACCCCCCCCGCCCCTACTAGAGTCTTCATGTTTTTGCATGGGTACGTATTGGGTTTAGGGCTCAGGGCTCACTGTTTCAGAGCTCCGACACCTTCCCCTGCAATCTAGAACCCCTCCCCAAAGACTCAACCTCTTAAACGAAAAGCACCCCCGACAGCCCGAGAAAGCCTACACAGAAACAACTTCGGTCGCTCTCCGCCCGTGCAGACCCTGGAGTTTGCACCATCCACACTCGGTGCAGGAACTTAAGGCCTTAAAACCCCAAGAGGCCCCCCAAAGCCCTCGAAACCTTGCAAGCCCTTTAAGCCCTGTCAACCCCATGCCGTGCGTACACCGGCCCTAAGCCCCCGCAAGATTCTGGCAAACTCTGCCGGGCGCCAGACATTTCGCTGCTTTTCTCCCCATCCCTTTACATGTACACCATTCCAGCATATCCGGGTTCTTCTACTCCCAGGATAGTAATCATAAGTTATGCATGTCTGTATATATATACACACATATGCATATTAGATGTCTATCTATGTAGATAAACATACATATATATATATATATATTGCAAACACATATACATGTACACATATGTATGTATGACCCTAAGGTACCTTAAAGAGGTTCTTTACCTTCAAAAAAGGGGGGTTGAGGTTCCGGGAAACCCTAAACCCTGAATGCTTAATCGTTAACCCCAAGCCCTATCTGCTCCCCAAGCCCAAAACCCTAAAACCCGAACCCCGAAGGTCAGAGTCGAGGGCATGGAGCTTCGCGCCAAGGTAGCGGATGCCGCTGGGCCAAGAGTCCCTAAGCCCTAAACCCTAAATCCTAAACCCTAAACCCTAAATCCTAAACCCTAAACCCTAAACCCTAAATCCTAAACCCTAAACCCTGGACCCCAAACCCTAAACCCTAAACCCCTTGCTGGCCTTAGATTCTTTGGTCTAGGGTTCAGGGTTTAGGGCTTAGTAGAGGTCAGGGTTTAGTGATGGCAAAGCCCCAGGGCTCAGAGCCTTCAGTGCAAGTCGAAAGTCCCGGCCAGGTGTGCCCTGATGCATTGTTTTTTAGTTCTAGGTTCCTATGGGGGTCTACGAAAATATGGGACCCTTAATATAGACCCCCACATAGTAGGATCCACTTGTAAAAAGGACCCAATAAGGTACCCCGAATTTGGGAAACACTCTTATATAGAGTAGCCAACCCCCAAATGGGCTCCCTGATAAGGCAACCCAAGTGCTTTCAGTTCGAGTCTGAACCCTAAGCCCTAAGCCCTAAGCTCTAAGCCCTAAGCCCTTAAGCCCTAAACCCTAAACCCTAAACCCTAAACTTTCGGTGCGAGTCTGAAGAGACGGATGCCGAGGTGCTGGCCCACATGTCCAACAAGTGGACCTTCCGCCATGGCGGCGAGCACCTGAACATGTCGTGCTCCGGAGGGTTTAGGGTTTAGGGTTTAGGGTTTAGGGTTTAGGGTCTAGGGGTTTAGGGTTTAGGGTTTAGGGTTTAGGGCTTAGGGTTTAGGGTTGCAAGGGTTTCGTGAAGCACGAGAGGCCCCAAACCGTAAAACTTTACAAGCCCTAAAACAATAAGACTCTAAAGCCCTAGAGCCCTAAACCCTAAGCCCCAGAAACCCTAGCACAAAACGCTAAAGCCCTAGAGCCCAGAAACCCTAACACCCCAAAAGCCTAGAACCCTGAAGCCTTCAAACCCCGAGAAAAAGCTGACTCGACATTAGAAGCTCCACTCCAGCAAGCACCCATTACCCAACTCATTTCAAAAGTTGGCCTAGAAACCCTAAACCCTAAACTCTAAACCCTAAACCCTAAGCCCTAAATCCTAAACCCCTAGAGCCCCTAGGAGACCCAGACAGAGTATACCCCTCGCTTCCACTATTCCGGACGAAGCTCGCTAGGTCATAGTAGGGCAATAGGGAGTTGGTTACTAGATGTACCCCCATAAGGCATTCTTTAGAGTTCCGAATTATCCGAAACGCTAAGCCTAAGCCCTAAACTTAATTTTCCTAACTCCCTACTGCACCCATCTTTACCCTGAACCCAAACTCTAAACCCTAAACCCCAAACCCTAAACGCTAAACCCCAGCAGCAGGTACTCCTTCTCACGCCTCGAGCCCTGGACGGGCCGTCCGGACACCGAGTTGCAACTCTTGGGGGCTTCAGTGTTCGGGCTTATATAGGGTTGTTTAGGGTTTAGGGCTTAGGGCTTAGGGTTTGGGGTTTAAGGTTTTGGGTGCCCAAAGCCTTAAGCCTAAGGCCTAAAGCCTAAACTCTAAACCCCAAACCCTAACCCCTGCTTTCTTGGTTTGGCGTCACTCGGGGGTTTTACAGCTTTGCTCGGAGTTTCTGCTGGTCTTTGGGGGCGATGGGTTGGACTCTGGCTTGGGATCTTATACTACCCACACCGGAGGTGAGGCACAAAAACTGCTTAGTAACCCCAAACCCTAAACTCTAAACCCTAGACCCTAAAGGGCATTCAGGGCAAGTAGGGGGGTGCTTAGCCGTAAGCCTTAAACCCTAAGCTCCAAAGTGGCAGAATGGAGGTTGGGGTGGTGCCGGATCCACTGAATCCCGGGATTGTGGGTGCTTGTTTTGAAGTTCGGTGTTTAGGGTTTGGGGTTGAGGGTCTAGGGTTTAGAGTTTAGGGCTTAGGGGCTTGGAGCCAACTCACCCTGACCCACAAGGCGCGACAGGGTTTAAGGCTTAGGGGGGTTTTTGTGGTAATCAGGCCTCCTGTTGAACCCTAAGCTCGAAACCCTAAACCCTGAACCCTGAGCCCTAAACCCAGATCCTCGCATTTCCCCGTGGCCTCCGACCGGTCGAGGCCTGGACACGCCGGGCTTTGGCCCTGCGTATGTGGACGAGGCGCGGAACATATGTAGGGTTTCGGGTTTAGGGTTTAGGGTTTAGGGTTGAGGGTTGAGGGTTTAGGGTTTTTTGAAATTGTGGGGCTTTGGGGGTTTTAGGGTCTGGGCTTTTCGGGTTGAAGCTAGACCTCGAAGCCCGACACCAGGATTCAGAAGAGCGTGCGAAGCAGCCAGGCTCTTCTGCCCTAACCCTTGAACCCTCATCCCGACACCCCTAAACCCTGAACCCTAAACCCTAAATCCTAAGCCCTAAACCCTAAACCCTACGAGGGTGCCCCCGCAAGGGCGAAGCCTGCCCGACTACCACACTTTATCGGTCTTTTTGGTTTGGGGTGCAGGGTTTAGGGTTTGGGGTTTAGGGTGTAGGGTTTGTGGTGTCGAGTGTAAGGTGTGGGTTTACGCGTTGTGCATCACATGGGAGGGTTATCTACATTAGGGTCCCTTTTGGGAGTCCTTTTCATCAGTTTAGGGTTTAGGGTTTTAGGTTTAGATTTAGGGTTTAGGGTTTAGGGTTTAGGGTTTAGGGTTTAGGGTTTAGGGTTTAGGGTTTAGGGTTTAGGGTTTAGGGTTTACTGTAGGGTTTAGGGTTAGACTCACAAGTGGGGTTATAAGTAACCATAAACCTCTAAGTAGGTCCTTAGGCATAATCCGAAAGAATGACGGGGTGTGCGGTTGAGGTTTTCGTCATTCCTTCGGATTATGCCTAAGGACCTACTTGGAGGTTTATGGTTACTTATAACCCCACTTGTGAGTCTAACCCTTAACCCTAAACCCTAAACCCCAAAACCCTAAACCCTAAACCCTAAACCCTAAACCGTAAAACCTAAACCCTAAACCCTAAACCGCCTGAACCTCTAAGTAGGGTCAAAGTCTGGGACTCAGAGTTGAGAGTTTCAAGAGCTCAAGCTCAGGTTG